TCGTGCTCAGGGTTGCACTGCCCCTGCCATCGGAAGTCCTAAGACAGTTACACTGGAAAACTGAAGGAGGCTGAATTTTTAAGTTGGAAGAGTGCTGATTAAAAGAAAAGACAGTGAATACTTGCGTTGTGCGTGTTCACGTAGAACAGAAATCTCAGAAACACTACCGAGGCCAGCGTTCGAACTGCCTCAGTTGTCCGACGTCTAGCTGTTCGTTTCCTTAAATATATTTGTAACAGCAAAGTGGCCCCTCCTCCCAACAGGTAGGCCCTGCCTACCCTTCGGTCCTCCCGTCTGCTCTGAAACCCCCCTTTCCAGGGTGTTCTTGATGTGACCGCTTTTGGAGAGCAAAGAAAGGTCGGTCTGGCAGCGGAGGGGCCGGGACCCCAGCTGACCCCACCCGGGCTGCCCGCGTGTGCGCAGGGTCCTGGCTTTCCTGTCTGCAGCCTCCCCGTGCGAACCAGATGATGGGGTTTTGATTGCAGTTTCTCTGTTTTGTCCTTTTGATTTCTGAGATGGGGGATCTGGTGTGGTTATTTAAGGATTATTTGTATGGTTGCCATGTGACTTGCAGGGTCGACTTCTGATAGCCAGGTTCTTTCCAGACATTGGCTTCATTTCTGGCCATTTTTGCTGCAGGAGTGAAGCGTGCCTTCCTCGGTGCAGGGGAAGGCAGCCTCGGGGCCGGGGGCTGGCGTGGGTCCCGCGGGGGAGCCTCTGTTGACCTCGTGTTTTGGCTTCTCGTAGCCTCAGCTTGTCCTGGGTGGTGCTGCCCAGACAACTTCACTCGGGACGGCGACAGCTGTTCAGACGGGGACACCTCAGCGAACGGTCCCAGGGGCCACCACCACCTCCACAGCTGCCACGGTGAGTGCCGCCTCCCACGCCTCTCAGTGCCTTCCCCGCCGCCCGGGCCCTGCGCCTGCGGTCACGCCTGCCCGCCTGCATGTGCCTCCCTCTCCTCGAAGGCCCCGGGGGCTGTTTGGGGCCGTGTGTCTTATTTGTGCTGCCTCAGAGCACTGGCGACCCCGGGAGCCACGGCCTAGACACACGAGTGTGTTGGGCCCCCACACGAGTTGGGGTCCGAGGGCAGTGGCCCCTGCAGGGCTGTGGGAAGGACCCCATCACCCTGCACGAGGCTTTTGGGCCGTGGAGACGTCCACGTGACCAAAGCCCAGACCGGGTGCTTTCACAGGAGTGAAGTGGACTGCACAGAGGTTGTGCTCTGAGACGGCGGTGCCACCCGTTTTTATGTATCTCCAGCAGTTTTCCTGCACACGGACGAATCTCTGAATCAGTGGGATTGCACTTTATTTATGACTTGCTCTTCTCGTGTTTCTTTGCTAAGTGTTTTCCGCTTTTAGCAGCCGTGTCGTAATTCATTTCCGTTTACTGTGCACTTACATGTCAGCCCTCCTCTGTGACACGCAGCATCACGCGAACACCTACAGATCATCTTTTCCACATTTATCGGTGTTTTACTTAATTACGTCCCTGCCAGTCGGATTGCTGGCTGAGAGAGAAGTAAACCTGGGGACGGCCCTGCAGAGCATGCGTCCTGGCTTATACCCCCATCGTCAGGCCGTGAGAGTTACTGCATTTTCTTGAAAGAAGTTTAGGGAAGAAACACAGATTTCTTATGTGATGTACGTGTCTTAGTTAAACCAAAGCTGTGAGGAAAATCTGCCTTTTAAGACTTCCCCTCTTTTATCTTTTTAACTTGTATCCAGGAAACTATGGAAAACGTGAAGAAATGTAAAAATTTTTTATCTACGTTAATAAAACTGGCTTCCTCCGGTAAACAGTCCACAGAGACAGCCGCTAATGTGAAAGAGCTGGTGCAGAATCTGCTGGTAAGAACTGCGCGCTGGGCTCTTTGCCTCGGGTGCTTGTGTTTGGGTCGTGTCAGGCGCGGCCTGGGCCCAGCATCCTGGGGGCTCTGCTGAGGGCCCCCTTTGGAGGCAGCCCCCCTTGTCCGCAGCCCTGCTGTCTGCTCGCCCGGCGGGCTTCCCGGGGCGCTCACGGCAGGAGGGGCTGTGTTTAGTCTCCTCTTCCAAATCTGCCATCCGTCGTTCCCCACTTGAAAGGGGCGCGCTGGCCTCATGGGTGCGATGTCAACACTGGCCGGAGGGCGCTGCGAGGCTTTCTCTTGCTCCTCTACCTGTTTTACCTTTTCAGTGGGGAGTTTTCATCTGGTACAGAAGCAGAAAGCAGGGTCACGAGCCCCTCTGGCTCCTGGGCTCTGCTGGTCACTTGTTCTTACCTGACTCGGAGTCAGCTACACCCCCGTTGCCATCCTGAGCCCCTCCGCAATCCCACACGTGTGTCAGCCCGGATCCCTGGACACAACCTGCGACCGCAGGATCCCTTGCAGCCCCATGGGCCCCTGAGGCGAGTCCCACGTTGTCTGCTGGGATCCGTTAGGAGTCCGCCGGGCCCACCTGCCGCCACTTCTAACCTGAGGGTCCCTCCTTCTGAGTCTTTTTCTTTCTTTCCCGTCTATCTGTTGAGGAGCCCTGCTGGAGTAACATCTGGGCTGCTGGACATTTTCTGCCCTTCCCAGCCTCCCTCCCGGGCCTCAGGGCCGGGCTGGGGGCACTGCCCTCTGAGGACTGCTCTGCGTCGTCTCTGCAGACACGTGGTCTTTGGTCTGGAAAGGGACGAAGTCACACTCTAACCAGTAAAAATGATCGCTTCAGATGCTACTTAAATATTTTCAGGAAATTCAGAGACTGAAAAGTTACCTCACCCCTGCAAGGAGCAGGGGGTCCCAGCTCTCTGTTTTGGTTGTAACAGTTTCACCTTCTGGTGAAAATTGCCGGTGCAATGAGTGCCGCCCCTTGTCTGTGGGCCCTCGTTGCTGAAGCATCGGCTGGTCTGGTCTCTCACTCCCTAGACGAGTCCAGCACTGCCCGCCCCGACGCTGCGCCCTTGTCAGGGTGCTGGGGCCCCGTTCTGCCCTTTTTACATCCCCCCTTTGCAGCCCTGGCTGCTCCCTTCTTGAATTCAGCGTCAGTCAGCCCTGGGCTTGGCTGCTGGTGACAGGTGACCCCAGATAAGAGGGTGCAGGTCAGGAGAGTTTTGTCCTGTAGGATTCCCAGGTGTCAGCGACCTGGACTGGAATGACCTGGTGAAGCCTGAAGCCCCCCCCACACTCAGGGCCCCCACCTGCTAGGTGGCCTGTGATGTCTGGTCCCTGCCCACCTCCCTTGTCCTCCCCACATTCACAGCCCGTTCGCCCCAGTTTCCAGAACGGAATCGTGCCCCTCTGGTCTGGGTGCCTGCTGCCCTCTGCATGGAGCCCCAGGTGCTTGTGGCCCTGGGCTTCCTCCCAGAGGCTGGGGTCTTAGCGTGGGTGTTGCGTCTTCATGTAAGGGTGTCCCTTGTCTGTGCCATGTGGTGGCACCTGTGCCTGCAGCTCCGACTTCGATAATGAGGTTACTTGTAGGCTAGTCTGTCTGCTAGCAAAATGCCCGGCCCATGGTAGGTGCTGGTTAAACGTCAAGTGAAAGCTGGAGTGAGGCTCAGGATCCAGGGGTGGGGGGTGAGGGGGTGTGGTGGAGCGCGCGCCGAGCCTGCACAAGCTCCTGGGCTCCACCCCCAGTGCCTCCACTTAAGGGAAAAAAGAAACTTGGGAGTTAGACCAGTGAGCCCTCACTGGGGTGGAGCCACGGGTGCTGGGGGAGGCTTCAGCTGCGCACCTGGGAGGCCCGTGTCCACTGAACATGCCATACCCTGGCCTCCCCGTCCCCTCTGTCCAGCGAAGGCCTGGCGGGAAAAACAACTGGTCATAAAATTTGAGACCAGAGAAATGCTGCATAAAGAGATATGTGTGTGGACTTGTATTCATGGAGGGATTTCAATGTGAATTTTATTTTTAAGGATGGAAAAATTGAAGCAGAAGATTTCACTAGTAGGTTATACCGAGAACTTAATTCTTCACCTCAACCTTACCTTGTGCCTTTCCTGAAGGTAACTTCGAGCCTCCTGCGTGTGCTGGGGGGTGGCGGCTGGGGCGGAGGGGCGGGGGGGCAGGCTGTTTCCATGGAGGAGCAGGCTTGCATAGATGTCACCATGTGTTTGCATGTGCAACATGTCCCAAGACAGTGTTAAGTTACGAGACCCCTGCCACTGCGGCCACTCTGTGGGGACACAGCTGGGGACCGAGAAGGGCCCTCTCCCCACAGATGGGGGTGCCTGCACCTCTGGGATGAGGGTGTCACCGAGGTGTCCTCTGCTGTCCTTACATGCTCGAGGGCATTCCGTGCCACTTACTGGTTTTTCAAACGTGTCTCTGTCGGTTTCTGTTGAGGATAACCCTGCTCGGTGACGGCGGGGCTGGCACTGTTGGATGGCGACCCCTGGCGTGCAGGGGCATCTCCCAAGGCCCGAAAAGCTCGCTGTTGAGTTTGAGTCCGTGTTCTCAGAGCTGCCTGTCTCTGAGCCGGTGCCACCCGCCGACCCCGTGTCTGTCTTTCTGCCCAGAGGAGCTTGCCCGCCTTGAGACAGCTGACCCCCGACTCCGCGGCCTTCATCCAGCAGAGCCAGCAGCAGCAGCCGCCGGCCTCGCAGGCCACCACCGCGCTCACGGCCGTGGTGCTCAGTGGCTCGGTCCAGCGCACAGCCGGGAAGACGGCGGCCACCGTGACCAGCGCCCTCCAGCCCCCTGTCATCAGCCTCACGCAGCCCACACAGGTTGGCGTCGGCAAGCAGGGGCAGCCCACGCCGCTGGTATGCAGGCCAGAGCCTTGCCCACCTCCCCTGCCCGCCCACCCACCCGCCCGCCTCTTAGGTGAATGGGCCTTGGCTCCGAGGGGCCTCCTGGGTCACAGGCAGGCGGGAGAGCCCTGGTCTCATCCTCGGTGGGAAGGTGCCAACTAGAGGCTGGCCCTGCAGGTTTGAGTTTGTTTCTAAGACAAGAGAAGCCCGTGGGCGTTTACCTGCTTAGGCGCACATTACCTGTATTGTTTGTAGGTGTTCCTGGCTTAAACGAACGCAGTACAATGTAGTGTTGGTTGTTGTCTTTGATCAGGAACAGTGGCCCAAACACAAGGAACAGACGACAAGTGCTGGGTGTGGGCCCGGCAGGCAGGGCGGCCCAGGACCCGCTGCGGCTGTAGTTCGGGGCTCGGAGAGTCTCGGGAGATAAGACTGCAGGCCACTGGTGCTTCATTTGTGCTTCGATCCAGGGCTGAGTTGTTCGGCTCTGGAAGAACGTCCTTGCCGGGAAGAGTCACGTTTGGATGTGCCCCACAGGCGGGTGGGCTCGCCAGGCGTGGAGAGGCAGCTGCTGCTGCTGCTTCTTCTCTTTGATTTCAGAGGGTTTGTTCCTCTCCAGTCAGAAAAGTCAGTGAGACAGCGCAGGCCTCTCGTCACCAGCGTAGGCTGTGGAGCGTGGGTTCTGGTAGCACTCGGGCGGCAGCCAGAGCTGGCGATCGGTCACCTGGGCGGGTGTGCGCTCTCCGCTCGAGTTAGAGTCCGCGTTGTTTTGCCTCGGTTGGCGGCATGGGAGACGGAGGCCCCTTTGGCTCAGGACGGAGCTGTTAGGGGCTCAGGGCGAAGGGGCAGGTGGGACATCGGGACCCCCCCCGCAGGCCCGGCTCTGCGTGTAACGGAGGTACACACGGGGGTCTTGAGGAGCCCTTGGCGTGTTGTCTGAGGGACGTCGCGGGCTGTGCGGCGTGCGCACGGGCTGTCCTGCCTCTGCTTCCCTGGTCCGTTGAGTGGCAGTGTGTGCAAGCAGCCCCGGGCGTGTGACCCACTGGTCCATCAACCGCTTTCCCTGAAGACTGTAGAGACCTGAGTTTATGGCAGGACTTGGGCTGAACCTCCTGGAGGCAGTGGCCTTTCCTCGTCCTGGGTAGCGTGACTTGTCATGGGTTTTGTGTGGGACAGTTTGGCACACAGCAACCGCCACCCCCCACCCCCGCTCTGAGAGGGCCCCCCCAGGTGACCCTCACGCAGTTCAGAAACTGGATCCTTAACTCCAGCCCCAGAGGCTGTGGGTAGGCCGCAGGGCTCTGGGAGGAATCTGAGGCGGCCCCAGCAGGGAGGCCACCATGTGTCACCTGTGCTGATGCTGGGGAGAAATCCACTCTCTGCGGGCTCTGTGCTCAGCACACGCTGTGCCCCAGGCACTGACCTCAGGGCCCAGGGGCAGCCTCCGGGCAGCTCCCGGGTGTGTCCTGAGCTGCTGGAGGGCCAGGGGACCCTGCGGGATGGCACGGGTGCTCTCGCGTCCTCATGATTGTGCGGCGGGCTCTCCTTCAGGTGATCCAGCCACCGCCCAAGCCCGGGGCTCTGATCCGGCCCCCGCAGGTGACACTGACGCAGACGCCCATGGTCGCGCTCCGGCAGCCCCACAGCCGCATCGTGCTCACCGCACCCCAGCAGATCCAGCTGAACCAGCTGCAGCCAGGTGAGCCTGGTGGCCTGGCTCCCAGCAGCCTGTTTGCCTGTGGGCTTCTTACTGTGACAAAATACACATGAGGGCAAACTGACCACTTTAGCCATTCTAAGTGGACGGTTCAGTGGCGTTAGTTACACTGCAGTGTTGAACAGTCGTCACCCCATCGACTTGATCTTTAAAATCACACACTTGGGATGTGAATGCTTTTCCAGTAGTTGTTCCTCATGTCAGACAGTGTGATGCTCGAGAGACGCCGTGTGTGCTTTTACCTCCAGCTTAGCGTTCGTCGTCTGATGTTTGTAAACACGTCATCATGGCGGGTGGGGGTGACAGCCCTTCCCTCGGCCTGTCCGACCCTGTCGCCTGGGGACAGCTGTGCCACCGTGTCCCTGCGTGTTGGGCACACCCTTGCCTCTTGTTTTGCAGTCCCTGTGGTGAAACCTGCTGTGTTACCTGGAACCAAAGCTCTTTCTACTGTCTCGGCACAGGCAGCTGCTGCCCAGAAAAATAAACTCAAGGAGCCTGGGGGAGGCTCGTTTCGGTAAGGATGAGCCGTGCACACGAGGAACGGGTGTGGGAGCCGCCTGCGCGGTGACTGCTGGTGCTGTGGGGCTGCGTTCCTGCCACGCTCGTCCGACCTTTGGGTGCTGCCTTCCCACTCGTAGCTCCGGGAGGTTCGCCACAGACCCAGGGCGGGAAGGCAAAGCCGCAAACCAATAGCAAGTTTGTGCTCACGCCGTTACGGGTTGGTGATCCAGGTGCGTCCCGGTGGCAGTGGATCCCAGGACCCCTGAGTCCACACGTGGGTGTGGCGTGGGCTGCCAGTGCGCGCTCGGTGTGGAGCTGTCCTGGGTTTGGGGGGACACACCTTGTCCCTGTCACCTGTGTTGCTCGGAGCCTTCGTGGATGCTAGGCTCCGGTCTCTGGGCACCGCCACGGGAAGGGCTGCAGAGACGACTGCGGATAGCGCTCTGCAGTAGTGGAGTGTGTGTCGGGGGCCTTGCTTTGTCCCTGAAACTGTCAGGGGGCTGGGAGCCTTGGGGGCCTGGCCGGGGTCAGCGCCCCCGCCCCTGGTGCGGGGGTGGGAGAGGGCAGGTGGTGGATGTGAGAGGCGCGTCCGCCTGCAGATCAGAAAAGGAAACGGGCGAAGAGTCCTGGAGACCACGGCTTCTTCCTGCTGGGGAGGGAGCTGGAAGCACAGAGACGGTGCAGACGAGGGTGAGCCCGCGGCTGGCCGGTGAGGGTTGGACACACCGATGGAGACTTTCTGAAGTGGCCGCAGGTGGGCGCTGCTGGCTCTGCCCGCAGAGGACCGCCAGGGTGCCCCTGCGGTGCCTGGATCGCCTTGTCCAAAAGCCGCTTCCAGCGCCGAGACCGGGCCGCCTTGCAGGGCTGCTGACCCCAGGGCCAGGGTCAGGAGAGTGTGGGACGAGTCAGGGCGTCTGGCTCAGTCAGGAAATAGGGCTCAAGGGTGTGTGGGCGCTGGTCAGGGTTCGCAGAAGGCCTGCCTCCTGCTGGCCACGTCTGTGGTAAGTGGATGGCTTGTGAGGAACGGGGTTTGCGCAGTCTCAGAACACCTCCCCCAGGCCCCTGTGACACGTGGGCAGGGACCCCTGGGCTGGAGCTCCGCGTGCTTGGGGGGCAAGGCCACGTGCCTCGTGTGACGTTTCTGCCAGGTGTGTCGCCCACGTCTCATCGGGAGGGGCCGTTGGTCGGGGCACAGTGGGGACAGGCTGCAAGACCCCTGGGCCGGGACTTCAGGAATCATGGGCACGAGTCGGGAGGGGCTGTGGAGATGACAGAAATGTGGCTCCTGCCCTGAACTGGACCCTTGGCTGAGGAAGACGCTACAGGGACAGTAGGCAGCCCAGGGGGTGCGGGGGGAGGGCCCGAGCACGGCTGGTGGCCGAGGAGCGCGGCGGTCACCCTGGTTCTGCAGGGGATGCCCTTGTCTGCATGGACCCAGGCTGCAGTGTCCGCCCCCTTCGGGTGACTCAGGAAGGAGAGTTCTCTGTGCTGTTCTCCAGCCTTTCTGAGAGTTTGTGATTGTTTTAAAAGTAAGTTACTTCTGTGAGGTCATTTAAGAAAGGTCTCACGGAGCAGACTCCTCGAAGTGAGAGCAGGCGTGCGGGCGTTGTGCTGAGGTCAGAGCTGACGTCCGTGTGCGGGGACTCCCGTCCTGCTCCCCCGAGCGAGTCTTCCTTTAAAAGAACAGACTCGCTTGCAGGGACGGCTGTGCTGCTCAGGTGACGGCAGTGCGGGAGGGAGGGGACAGGAGCCGGGACGGCCGAGCGCGCCTCCCTGGTGGTTAGGGTGATCTTTTCTTCCTGTCGGAAGGGACGACGATGACATCAATGACGTGGCGTCCATGGCTGGCGTGAACCTGTCGGAAGAGAGCGCGAGGATATTGGCCACGAACTCGGAGCTGGTGGGCACCCTGACGCGGTCCTGCAAGGACGAGACCTTCCTTCTCCCGGCACCCTTACAGAGACGGATACTAGAAATAGGTGCGCCCAGGTCTCCTCGCTGTCCCCAGGACCCCTGAGTCCACACGTGGGCGTGGTGTGAGCCGCCAGCGCACGCCTGGTGTGGCGCTGTCCTGGGTTTGGGGGGACACACCTTGTTCCTGGCACCTGTGTTGCCCGGGTCGTGCTTTCCGCATGGTGGGAGGTGATGTTCTCAGGGAGCTGAAGCAGGTGTCGCCCTCCCTGCACCCGCCGGCCCCGCGGGCCGCCCTAAGGCTGCACAGGAAAGAACAGTGAAGGAGACAAAAGCGCTTCAGTGATCGTAAGCTGTTGCCTGCTCCCCAGGGAAGAAGCACGGCATAACGGAGCTACACCCGGACGTGGTGAGTTACGTGTCCCACGCCACGCAGCAGAGGCTGCAGAACCTGGTCGAGAAGATATCGGAGACGGCCCAGCAGAAGAACTTCTCCTACAAGGTGCTCCGCCGCTGTCTGGCGGGGGCGGCCTGCTGAGAGGCGGGGGGGTGGGAGTGGCCTGAGCATTGACCTTGTTTTGAATTTTAACTAGAACTAGATTTGGGGCGGATTCCACTTTTCGCCCGTGGTGTTCTTGGAAGCTGTCCAGCTGGGCTGGGGAAGGGGGAGGGACCTGCGTGAGGATGTGCCCTGGGGGCTCTGCCCTCCTGGGTGCTGGAAGGCAGCCTCTTCAGCTTGGGAGATGGTGGCATCTTCACCCGTGTCCGCCCTGGGCTCTGGCCCCTGCGGCCAAACTCGCCTGCAGCCCGCCCGTGCAGCAGTGCTCGGAGCAGTGCCCGTCGTGTCCTGCAGGGGGTTGCCCGCACCAGAGCCCCAGCCTCACAGTAGTTTTCTGAGCACAATCCACCTTCCCGTTCAGTCCCGCGGGCCCGTGTTCCGGAAGGCACTGTGGAGTGGCGGGGCGACAGCGCCTTCAGAGCAAAGTTTCAAATAAAAGCATGCAGCCATTTTGCTTTAGAGAGATTTCTTGTTATTGTACAGAATTTTAAATGATACCAAAGTGTGTAAATGGAAGTTGCCCCTGAGCCCCGGGGGCACTCACCTGAGAGCGGGTCCCCACCCAGAGCGCTTCGGCCACGGGGAGGTCTGGACGCAGAGGCCCGGGTCTGGGTCCTGGCGTCGGGCTTGGACTGAGGGAGGGCGGGGCACACACAGACCATCCTGCAGGCTCCTGAGTTCATGACAGACGGTGCTTTCGCTTTTTTGCAGGATGACGACAGGTACGAGCAGGCAAGTGACGTCCGGGCTCAGCTCAAGTTTTTCGAGCAGCTGGACCAGATCGAGAAGCAGAGGAAAGATGAGCAGGAAAGAGAGATCCTGATGCGGGCAGCAAAGGCAAGTGCTTGCGGTTCTCGCGGTTGGACGGCTTTCCCGCCTCCGCCTGGGCACTCAGACACATGCGGGGTTTCCTGGAGCTGCAGCGGGGTCTGGGGCTGGCCTGGGAGACACGGTGCGTGGGGCAGGGAGCAGGGCTGGGGCAGGAGCCTCAGAACCTCAGTGCGTCGCTCAGCACGCGGGCAGGACCCCGCTAAGCCTTCAGCCCTCGGGCCGCCCAGGCCCGCCGTCCTCACGTCACCTCTGATCAGATTCTGCAGCTGGTGGACGTGGCCCGACCATGTTGCGTAGTTCTTAGGTCCAAGTGGTGTTGACTTTCTCAGGAGTAACGTTTGTTTTTCATGGTAAATTTTCATCTTTTGACTATAAACTTTAGGAAAAGTTACTGCTTGTTCTGTCGTATGACCTGCATGTTATTCTGTCTCCAATAAGATAACGTACTTGTCAGATGACAATGTTCAGGTCATAACTTACTTTTCATTTTTATGTCTTTGAAAAATAGTCTCGATCCAGACAGGAAGACCCCGAGCAGTTAAGGTTGAAGCAGAAGGCGAAGGAGGTACGCGCCTGCACTGGATGTGTTCGTGTTCACGCCCAGGGCCCGGCGGGGGGGTTGGGGGGCCGGCGGGGGAGCTCGGTGTCTCTGCACAGCCGGCCTTCACGTGGGGACTTCCGAGGTTTGCAGAGGTGTCTCCTGGGCAGGCCCTCTGTGTGCTTGCTGGCTTTAAACCTAGTGGTGATTTCTCATTTGGTGCATCCAGTCTGTGGTTTTAAAATTTGCTCGTGTTTTCCGAACTCTTTAAGATGAGCATCTACGGTTTTATTCTTTTTCTGATTGTAGAATATGCTTACTGTTTAAAAAAAATGTCAAAACGTTAAAGAAATTTTAATTTAGAAAAAAACTGGGAAGCCCTCGGGTATGTGTGTAAGACAAAGCATGCATGAGATGACCGTCCTGTTTCCTTTTCCAAACGAAGATGCAGCAGCAGGAACTGGCGCAGATGCGGCAGCGCGACGCCAACCTCACGGCGCTGGCCGCCATCGGGCCCAGAAAGAAGAGGAAGGTGGACTCCCCGGGCCCCGGGTCGGGGGCAGAGGTGCGCAG